CAATAAAGAATAACTCTTTAAAAAATCTAAAACTACAATAACAAAGTCAATGAGAAGTATATATATATGTATATATAAGATTGAAAAGTTCTAGGACTTCATGGAGAGACCTAATCTTCAAATTATGGAAATAGAAGAAGGAGAATAAAATCATAAAGGACAGAAAATATCTTTAATAAAACCATAATAGAAAATTTTCCAAACTTACAGAAAGAGATGTTTATCCAGATATAAAAGGCTTTCAGAGCACTAAGTAGAGAAGGCCAGAGTAGGTATTCTCCATGATATATTGTAGTTGAAACATTAAAAACACAGAATAAAAAAAAGGTATTAAAATTCATAAGAAAGAAAGGCCAAGACTCTTAAGGCAGACCTATTAAAACAATACTTGATTATTCAATAGAAACATTTAAACCAGATGGGCTTGTGCTCCAAGTTCTGAAAGAACATAATTGTCAATCCAGACTATTATATCCAACAAAACTATCTATTAAAATTGAAGAAAAATAAGAAACTTTCTATGATAAGACAGATCAGAAAGGATCACAAAGCCAGTCTACAGACATATTAGAAGGAATACTTCAGTCTGAAGGGAAGGATAAACACACCCAAAAGATCACAGTTAAGAAATGAACAGTGCTAGGACAAATAATTCAAAAAGATCTCATGTAACACCACAAAATCATCAAAATGGTAGGAATTAGCATACATCATTCAATAACAACTCTGGATATAATAATATCAATTTCCACAATAAAAAGATATATGCTAACAGATTGGATTAGAAAGCAGGATCTATCTTTTTGGTGCTTCTAAGAAGCACACCTATCCATCAGAGACTATTCCTTAGGGTAAAAAGATGGAAAAAGGTAATATAAGCAAATGGAACTAAAAAATAAACAGGTGTCGTTATTTCAATAGCTCATAAAATAAAGTCCAAACCTAGTCTGCCATTCATCTGGGTCTGTGGTTCCAAAAGCATCAGCTTTTAGACCATAGCTGTAATGTTTGCTCTGACTAAGTCAGTCAAAGGCATAGGGTCCATCTGTAAACTGTCCAAAGTCTGGACAACTTCGTATCAGAGTTCATTGACATTTGCATAAACAAGCCTACTCAATCTCCTTCCTCATTCAAGCCCCTAAGAACCTCCCAGCTCCTGCCTGTACCTCACTGCCCACTAGCTAAAGTATAGCTAAAGTTCTCACCAGGTGAGTCTTCACTGGCTGTTATAACTAGTACTCCTTCTGTTCATTCTTGGGAGTCTGTAATAAATGCCAAAAGCGATACTCAGAAGTGTTCAACTAACTTTCAGTGTGTCTCATTCTTTTGACTCTCAGGGCAGCCTTTAGGTCTCACCATCCCCTGTGACTCTCAGAGCAGCCTTTGGGTCTCACCATCCCCTGTGCCTCTCAGAGCAGCCTTTGGGTCTAGGTATCTCCAGTTTATTTTGTCTTGACACCTTGCTTCCAAGATGCCACAATGTCACCTCATCTTTCTGTTACATTGCTCACTGTTTTCCTTTTTGTTCATTTGCAGCTGACAGTGACATCTCCAGAGTTCCTGTTTGCTCCCTCCTTTAATTTTGGGCCATCTTCTTTTCATCACTTTTCAACTCTGGGAGCACGATCCTCAGGCCTGCCTCTCCACTCACTGCCCTCTCCTTGACTTCAGCACTAGGGTCCTCCACCTTCACTGATGACTACAGTTGCCTCAAACTTAAGTTGTCCAGCACATCAAGTTTTACCATTTTCCATAAATACCATCTTCTCCGATTTTCTGCAGTGAATAGAACTGGTTTTTTTTTACAGGTCTCCTAGGCTCAGGCCTTAACGATATCTTGACTTCAAACTTCCTTATGCGTCAGTTTCCCAAATACCTCTCTGATTTCTCCACCTTTCTCACATACGTTTCACCCTTTCCACTCGTTTATACAACAGATCAGTAGGAAGAGCTATTTTCAGCTTTACAGTCACACTGTCTTTGCTATCACAGTCAGACACTGCTCCTAAAGCAGCCACAGACAGGGTGGACTTGAGAGGCCTATTTGTGAGCCAAGAAAAGTTCGTTAAAATCAGGCTTCTGGTGTGAACGAGGCTGTGGGTCATGGTTTCTCATCCGCTCCTCCAGGCCATCGCTGTTCCCACCTGGCTAACTTTATCAGTCTAGGAACCCAGCTCCCAGCTCCCATCTTCCTTTCTTCAAACCCATGACTTTCCTCTCTCTGTCCAAAAATATGCAAGCCTAGGTAGATGCATCAAACACTAAGATTTTTATAAACGCATCTTTGAACATGTCACCTAACCGTGCTCAGTAGCTTCCTCTAACCATACTGTCTAGCTCACAATGCTCTTCCCTCCACCCGGTATTTAAGCCTGTCAGTCCCACAGGCACACCCTAAAGGCATCTCTCCTATGAAGATCTTCATGTGTCCATTTCCAAGGCAGAACTCTTCCGCCTCTCTAATACAGGCTTACGTAATAGCAGACCCTTCCCAGGGCTGTCTGTAATTAGGATCTGTCTCGCATCGCAGCTGTGTCTGCCTTCTACTGTCTCCCTCTTTCAACCAAAAGCTCATTAGAAGGCAGAAAGTGACTTTCTTCAAAGTCTCTTTTGTTCCTCAACATATACTCCGTTTGAGCAAACGAGTTGCCTTGCTTATAGAGTCTCTAATTTCAGTTGCAGAGGAAGACCAGATATAATTTATAAATGCCCAACTCTTGCAATCTGGAACAAAAGCAGGTCTGCTTCACTCACCGCTCTCAGATGCCACTGGGACTGCTCACTTTAGCCTCAGCTTCCTCTTTCCACTTGTTTAGATAGCATGTTTACTAAGTCTGTGGGTTTTTTAAAATTAAATTATTGTGTAAAAAAATGGAAAAGGTATTGAAGCCCAGATGAAGCTATGTTTCTTTAAAAAAAATAAAAAGGGAAAAAATGCAAACTACAGGAAAATGAAGTGTTGCTTGTGGCTCACTTTGAATCTGTTAGTAGCTGTGAGTCTAAGAAATGAATCAGGCCAACTGTGGGGTACCCTGTCAGTAGTATGCGACTGGCATGAACCAAAAGAAATAGAACACAGTATTTTAAAGGTGTATCTGGCTCAAGCCTTTTATAACAAGAGGGTTGTAGCTATTCAAGTTTAAATACTAAAATTATTATTATTATTTAAGTGTTCAGTAGCTATGCATAGCTAGTGGCTGCCATATGACTGAGGACAGACTTAGAATACTCCCATCATCTGTAAGAATGAGTTGGATAGTGTCACTCTCCAGTCCTCAAAGTAAAGTCTCTTGTTGCTTAGAGCTGAGTCCAGAAATGTGTGAAGATTCTTAGAAAAGGCGAAGACCAAATCTGCTGATGAAAAACTGGTCAAAGAGAATGGCTTCACAGAGTTGAAGTCTGTTGGGATCTGGCTAACCCCACTGTGAAAGTGGAGCTAGCCAGCCCTGAGTACATTGGCCTTTGGTCTCAGTAGTGCGTGTGAGATGAGATGAAGTATTTGCAGACATCTTTCAAAATGTCAAACCGAATAAGGAAGACTAAATGTATAAGGCTATGGAGAATGTTATAATGGCAAAAACTGTTCGGTAAAACTTCTATTTCAGTGAAATATGTAAGGAACAGTATCAGTGTACCCACCCTCTCCATCCTAGTAGGGTGTGTATGTGCAGAGGTTGGAAGTCATAGCTTTTCAAAATATATTAGCAAAAAAGTGCAAAGAGTACATATTTAAAAGAAAACAGTAAGATAGAGATCCACCTCCTTGTGTTGGGCTAAACCTGGAGAATGCAAGCTTAGAGACCTCACTCCTGGCCTCTCCAGCTTAGGAAAGTGATTTTCCTTTGCTCTTACTTCCCAGAAATGTCTTTGCAACCTCTGATGCTCTATATCGCAGAAGAAAGTGTTTTTGTTTGTAGTTATGTCACAGTAGAAAGCTTGCAACCAGAGATAGCCTTATCTGACGGACCAGCAGGGGAATGGTCTCATGAATCATGCTAGCAACTAAGATCACTGTTGCACAAGACAGAGAGGGAGAGGCAGGGGAGGAGAACCAGAAAGCATGGGGTTGTATTCTGTGTCCTCACAGCCCAGCAGTCACCTTTCCACTTGGCAGAAACAAAAGACTTATTACATTTTGAAAGAAGAGAATAATGCTTGTCTTATTCTCATATTAATATGATTTATTTAAAAACCCCGATCCCAGAGCCTCAGAGTAACTTACAATTCTCTGTTTATCTCTTGGATGGCTGACAATGGCTGTTCGGATTTCCCCCTCTAGCCTTCTGAATGATGGTTTTTTTTGGAGCTTAGAGCTTACTGTAGTCACTGGCCTATACATTACATAGAAACGTGGAAGCCTTGATTGCTGACTTAGACCAATTTAATTCAAAATGGAAAGAAAAAAGCCCCCAGCTTAATGAAAATTCCTATGGATGGCCACCCAAATTTACTGGAACCCTGAAAACTTGATTAGTCACTTTGAAAAAAATAGCATTGATTACTTATAATTATCAAATAAGTTCAGCTTAAAATTTCTTTCCCCAGGTTAAACAGCAAATCAATCCCGACTGAAATATATATTTCTAAATTATCAACATTTCCACAGGCAAGAATTTTTACTTCAGTGGGTGTAGATGTTAGTTGAAATTTTGGAAGCAGTTTTCTCAAAGGCCTTTGGATGAATTAGATACTTCCAAAATCTTCAACCCTCTGCTTTTTACATGCACATTTCTTTCAAAAATTTTGTTAGCAAGATTTTCCTCCAGAATGTTCTGTTTCTCATTTGTCCCTTTGTTTTTTTTTTTCTATGAGGAATTGTAACTATGAGTAGGACCCAGCAGCAGTTTATGTCATGCCTCAAGTCATAGGTCCTATAAGAATCACACACCAGATCATACATTCCCAGGGGCGTTCTGTGAGCACCCCAAATTCAGCAAGTCTGGACTTGAGTTTGTTTTCTTCCTGCCTGAAAGTCCACATCCTCTGGATGTAATCCCTACCTGAGGATGAGTTAGGCATTTTCTTCCTTTGGTAAGCCAGCAGTTCTTGAAGGTTTCATCAGCTCCATTGTGAGAATGTTACTGGTTCCTCCTCAGAATTTCCTGTTCAGTCTCAGCTTCCCCTGCAGAACCCGAAATGCCAAATCTTCCTTCAGCTGGTGAGGCCACAGCCCCTCTGTGTACCAACTCCGTTTCTGGGCTCCTTTTGGGTAATCTCCATGGAAAACAGACACATTGATGATATTCTTCTGTGCGAATCCCGCCTCTCACACAACCTATGTTATTTCTGTGTTGTTAACTGGTAAAAAAAAACCAAACTCCCTAAGAAAGGCAGAAGGCCTTCCCAAGCCCTGGTTGGGCGGGGGGGGGGGGAACCTCAGTGGTGGTGAATCAGCCCTGCAGGACTTCCTTCTAGTTTCTTAGAAAGAAAGATGTTTTCAGGATAGCCACCTCTATTCAGACACTCTTCTCAGAAAACACCTTTCCATGCATCAGTACTTGGTCATTTGTAATTATGCCTAGGACTCCATTGGCTTGTTTGTGACTTTTATTTCCATTTTTTTACAGTGCTTTTCACATTGCATCATTGTCCACTAGTGTGTGTGGCACTCATTAGAGCTCTTCCGCAAATATTTTTTGGCCTTCCCCAATCTCCATGTAAGGTAGAGCTGGTCTTAGTCTCCTGTGGTGGAGGGGGAGGGGCAATGATCTGAAAGCAGAAGTGAGGAGCATCATTTCTAGGGTGGACCACTTTGTCTCAGCAAGACTATAGTTTCCTAAGGCCATAAGTATTTGGCTCTTATTGAATGAATACATACAGAAATGAGGTATCCATTATCAGTGAGATAAAGAGAAAGTCATCAATAACATTATTTCCATATCTGTTAAAAATAATGGCCACTTGAAGAATGTTCTCAAAGGATTCAAAGTTGCTCTCTTTGATAACGGTTTTTGTGTGGCCTGTGATGTTCTGTACCCTGGCTGTGGACCTTGTATTGCATGGGCAGGGAGGGATGTTTGCTAGAGAAGCAGTGTCAGAATGACCTGTGCGGTTTATAAAGCCCTGGGGCTTGGATGTGGTCCTGGCAGAGTAAGAAACAGTCCTGCACACCCTGAGATTGCCCAGTCAGGCAAACCCTTACATGATCTGGAAGACTACGAAGTCCTGTAGGCTGTTCCACAGAAGTTAAAGGATTTTCTGTTTTGAAGCAAATTAAGTCCAGGAGTGACAAATGACACGGGGCTGCCTTTGTGCCAGCTGTGTACGTCTTTGTGAGTCACTAGACTTCTGTCAAAGGTGACAGACACACAAACTAATCATTCTTAGTCGAGACTGCTTCCTGTCTCACTGCATAGACCAACCTTAGGAAATCATGGTGAGTAGAAAGAAGAAAGAACCTTTGGAGGCTTATCTAGCTGGGGAGGGCTTCAAGGGGATCTCTGGAGAAGCCAGAGAAAAGTAAAATGTGGTCCAGTCAACCAAGATAAGATAGTGTTGAGCAAAGTGGAAAACATAGGTCCAGAGGATGAACTCCCAGAAGGAGTCATGGGTGTTGTTGTTATTGTTATTGCTATTATTATTATTATTATTTGTGATTGAGTACATGTAGCTTATGATTTTCCACAACTAGAGCCCAGTCAGGGACTCCAAAGCCGTGACTAGCCATGAAATATCTCTCAATATAATCTTTCTCTAAGAAAGGGTAAAGAAGGACAAACAAATCCAGCCTTGGCATCAGAGCCACCTGGCTGAGCTTCCAAAAGCTCACTAAACCCCAGAGCTACCATTTGCTGCTGAGTGATACCTCAGATATGATGTTCAACCTCACTGCATCTCAGCTACCTCATCTCCAAAATGCACTTCTTATGGCAAAGAGTCACTAAGGTTCACAAGCTAACAAGTACACACGGACTCTTACTAAGTGCACACTGAACTCTCTCAATAGGCTGTGGGGAAGCCTATTCACTTTTGATAGATGCATTAAGAAGTCCTCTGCTTAAGAATCTGGACTTCTTCCTCAAAGGAATGAGACAGATATTTTTTGCTGTGTGGAGGGAATGAGGAGTGGCGCATCAGAGGAGAAAGCATTTTCATGGGCTTTTATGCTTCTGATTCCCTGAGATGAAACAGCTTTTACAGCAGCCCTTTGGGTTCTCTTGTCTTTGTAGAAGGCAGGGAAGGCTCAAAATCGCAAGTTTTAGGCTGATGGTGACAAGCTGGTAACCTAACAAAGCCCACAGTCTTTTGCATCACAAAGCAGAGGTCCAAGGTCTGTTGGATTTCTTCAAAGGTTGCATTTGAGCTTTGTCAGCTGGCTGGGCTGAAGTGTGTTCTGTGTTCATGTCCCTTATCAGCCACCCATGGTGGGCACATGTTTCTCTCCTCACTGAGTGGCAGCACTCCCTGTTGACAGAACTAATCCATCCTTCTGCCTTTTCCATCTAGAAATAACCTGGGGGAGCTTATCAGGTAAAGTAGTGGTAGCCGTGATGGCTGGATGATTTCTCAGGCAGGGACGAGCACTTACTTCAAACAATTCTTTTTCTCATTGAGAAGTCTTATCAGGACATGTCAAGGAGGTGGCTCAAAACACCTGGGCTTATTTATAGGGCTGGGGAGGGCATGCCTGTAGGTATCAGAATGTACTCCACTCCTAATCCCTCTAAAAACATTGTCTTTAAAGGAGGTTCATTGTGCAGAAGAGCCCAGGACATTGTGCTCTTGGAATTGGCTATTATCTAGACCAGCCATTGTTGGTAAAGCAGGGATGGTACTTCTGCTCCCTGTAATCAGTCTGGACTGCCATTACTTGAGAACTGCCATGCCTTCAACACTTGCAAGGATTTTTCAAGCACTCTGCGATAGGGTCGTACTTCTGTGATCAGACCTAATTTGGGAGCACCTAATTCTCTTTGACAACACAATATTGGGTGAAGACATATTCCGCCCCCATCTCCTACCCCCATTGGATTCCTTTATTTAGTGGATTCCTTTAGTAAAGATGCAAGTGAGGCTCATGAGGAACTGAGTAAGCCTACAAGCAAATGGAATGTAAGAAAACTTTCCTGATTTCCCTTCCCATAGAATTAGCATCACATTTGCAAATTGTCTTCTATGACATGACCTATTGGTTCTATTGTAGAGTGTAGGATTAATTGGGTAAATATGGGTAAGCAGGAAGTTCTAGCTTGTACCAAAGACTAGCCTGTGTTAGAACATCTCCAGGGGCTTCACTCATGTCACAGCCTTGTAAGTGTGACCTCTGAGGCATGAAGTGCATAGCGCAACACAGTGCATACTCTACATAGTGCAAACAGCACCGTAAACCTGAGCCCCACTTCTCACAGCTCACTGAATCTCAGGCTCCTTTGCTGATCCAGATGCTAGAGAATGGCATCAGAAGGCAGCTGCTAGGGGTTTTTTTTTTTTTGCTGTTGTTTTTTTGACACTAGTAATAATTCCCAAACATTTTCAAATGTTCTATTTTCTTTGTGATGAGTTAAGGAAATCTATGATCACCTGCAGATTATTTGCCACAAAGGAGGTGGACTGCCTTATGCTCCTTGCTTGGACACAAGATACATGAGCTTAGATACAACTGGGCATTGAGGAAGAGACACCAAAGTCATTAGTCATATGAGTTATGATGAAAGCCATCAAGATGGCCAGACAGCAGCAGCTCTTAGGGTAAAAGGAGTAGTGTAGCACTGGCAGCTGTGGTTCCTTCTCAGTTTCGGCATGCTTCCTGACATGGTCAAAGTGGCCAGTGCATGCTGAGTTTGAACTGCCACCAGAACTCCTGGTGCCACTCTGCATTTAGGGTTCAGTGAGACCTGGGATCCCATGACTCAGAGGTGAGAAGATGCAGAGTATGAGATACCCCATCTTTCCTTAGCACTTGTCTTGGGTTGTATTTTTCAGCTTAGTACCTAAGTGACCAGTATTTAGTTAAAACCCATTCCCAAGAAGGAGAATTGGAATTACATTTGGGAAAATAATTTTTTCTTCCATGAGATTATTTGTTGATCTTCATTTTTGTTGTTGTTACGGTTTAAGAGTATATTTATCAGGGACATGGGATGCATTTGGGAAGTGGAAGGCTTGGCATACGTTGCTTGAAATGGGTAAACTCAAGTATTTAACTGCAAATTATAATGTCAAGGGCCGTTTGTCCCCTCAAGCTGTGTCATGAATCCCACCCAACTTGTTTTAGTCATCACTGAGCCCCCAGTGATCCTAGAGTTTACAGGTTCTGCCCAGGTCCCCTAAGGCATCTTTCACAGTGGAAGTCTTTGGAAGCCAAGTGAATTTGATCCTTGAGGAAAAACAATAAAAAAATGTGTCTGACTCATGCCAGGTATCCTGGGCACACATTTAATCCTAGTACTTGGCAGGCAGATCTCTGAGAGTTCAAGGCCAGCCTGGTTTACATCTTAGATTCCAGGCCACCCAAGGGCTGTACAATGAGACCCTGTTTAAAAAAAAAAAAAGCTTAACATTTATGCTATAAGATAGAAATTTAGCTGCGTTGGGTGAGGGGGCTAAGTAGGGTAATGTTCTCATGTGGCCTCTTCTGCTCGCCTTGGTGCTCTTGAGAGTTCTTTTCCTCCATATTCTTCATGTATAGAAGTGGGCCTCAGTCTTCCTCTCTCATGGCGTGTACTGGGAGTTAGAAGACTGACTTTCACAGCTCTGGCCCCATGGTGGAGTCACAGCTTCCTGTAATAAAAAAAGTGCTTTCCACTGAATCCTTTCAGTATGATCAATTTCTTGGTGAAGCTCCTTTTTCCCTCAGGGCCCACAAGTCTGCTCAGTAGGTGAAGGCACTTGTTGTCAGTTCTGAAGACCTGAGTCTGGACCCTCAATGGTGGGAGAAGCTACTCCTGAAAATTATTCTTTGGCCTATAGCGCGCACCCACATGTGCATGTATACACACACACACACACACACACACACACACACACACACGAGAGAGAGAGACAGAGAAAGAGAGAGAGAGAGAGAGAGAGAGAGAGAGAGAGAGAGAGAGAGAATAAAAAGCAAGCAAGTAAAATAGATGCTAATTTTTTCTTACGTGGCCAGTCACTGGTGCATCTCTTTTCTTACCACCATTGCCATACACTTGAGGAATAGTTTTCTGGGTTTCTTTAAGGGT